TATTCCCCATCTCACTCTATATGTATTCCCCATCTTCCGCTTGAATTGGCTTCGACATTCTAATCTTCATTTCACTCTTTTATCCAAATGGGGCAACCAAAAGACAGCAACCAAAACCGGCGCACAAAAGTGCATTGTTAATGGTTGTAAGTACTGAACTGAACTCAACACCAGCTTACCGTCTGGCGTTTGAGTTTTGACTGGTCGAACACTTGAGAAATCACATTCATTGAACTAGACAATCCAGCTAGATATCGATCACAAGCGACTCATGAATCGGTTCATCATAAATTTACTTGAACCGTAATTTGGATTTGAAAAGGTACCTGGTTGGTTGTAGCGACTGAAGGGCATGACAGTGAACCGACAGCAGTGGCGTTCTTGTTGTCAATTTTCACCAGATCTGAGTGCTTGAAAAATGTGTACGCTATTGGACTGTGCTCAGTGTTGATCATAGAGGTTCACTTTCTCCCCTCCCTCCAAGCAGATCCCTTCTTTACCCAAATATTCATGGTGATCATCGATGTTCGTTCCGCTATTAGTTTGTGATGACTATGATTCGCTTGACAATCGGGACCCAGACTAATATAAAGCCTCTTGGTTACTAAAGGATGATGTAACTGATTTCTGATGGGTAAAAAAGCACGGTCCACAATCCGTATTATCACTATAGAAATTGTGCAAAAACGTTGCAAAACTCTGTCCCCGAAGAATGTTTTTTTTCCAATGTAGTTTAGGCTATTTACTCTCAACAGTTTTACCGATATATCAGTTATCTGTGACATATTTTCGTCATTTGGTCGTTCGACCATATGTCATAAATGTTTCCAGACTGCTTCCTTTGCACTAACTTGATTGAGTCATCCAAATTTACTTCAAGACTTGCATGTCATTTGTGTCAAAAGTACTTTTCTCATGGCACAATAAGCTCTTTTAGTGGTAGGCAACTTCACGGTCACCTTGCTCAACACCACACTCGTACTAGTGCGACTTTATTTGGTCCACCGTTTCAATTTCTGGGGTTCTCTTGAGTGATCGGTAGGTCCTCGTGACTATTAGGGTTACCTCCGCTGTTGTGCCTAATGAGACACCTAATTAAGAACTACCAATAGTAGCTTCTGAAGTATTCTGTGGTAAACTAGATTGCTCCATTTTATACTTATTTTTTTTATTTTAGAGCATTCACTTTTTATAAGATGTCAAGTAGACTTCGTTCGGCAGCCTCAGTTCTGGGACTGGGTTTGGGCATTTTTGTAGCGAAATCATTGTACTCTGGCAATGAGAGGTTTTACCAAGAGATTGTTATGCCAGTGGCCCACGCTGTGATTCGTGATGGCGAACAAGCGCACAAGTGGGCCCTGAAGGCATTCACTTTGGGTTTCATACCTACGAAGCCTCGTGGATTATTTCCAGAACTTCAGCGAAACGTTTTCGGTTTGAGCTTTGATCATCCTGTTGGAATAGCCGCGGGTTTCGACAAAGATGGTGATGCTGTGTTGTCACTGCTTAAGGCCGGCTTCTCTTTTGTGGAGGTAGGCACCGTAACCCCTCGACCGCAGCCAGGCAACCCGCGTCCAAGAGTATTTCGTTGGAGGGCTTGCGAGGCAGTAATTAATAGGTGAGTACGTCAGCTGGTTTCAAAATCTTCAAATCTGTTCTCCTAATATCATTAGCAATCCTACATGGTTGTGCATAAAATAATCGAACTACTAAATTTTTGCTTCCTGGTTCTATCAGTCTAAATTCAACGTGTTATTTTGAATTGCGAAATAGTATTAGCACACTAACTCATTTTCTTACATTCTGTGATAGTGGCATATTCGGGTAACTCAGTTTCATCGCAAAAAGTACTGCCTGTGGAAATAGTTTAGATAAAAATTGAGTTTTTAACTCGGTTGTTGAAGGCATACAAACGCTGGAGTTTTTCATGTATCGATGCACTTCTGGACCATTGTGATTTTTTCTTCTCGCTCCGTTCTCCTAAAGATGACACGAAATTATTGATAGATAGGAAATAATAAGCACTATTGATGCGTCTTAGCTCAGCTTGACTGTCATTGTACAATTGTATCTTATGCAAGACGGATTTTTTTTTTGATTTAATGTCCCGAAACATCAGTTTTGCTTTTGAATGTTTGTCATTTTCCTTTTTGAAACCGATGTCCGGTAGGTGAAACAAGCTATTTTTCGATAAATTCGTGAACTGGCCATTACAATTATATTAGGGTTACTTGTGCTGTTCTGTCTGGTTTGTATCGCATCGAGCTACGTACAGAATGCGCTGTTTGTTTTCCTGATCCTCATCTTGGTTAGATCATTGATGCCCTCCCCCTCCCCCCCCCGCCGCCGGAGGGGGTGTATTTATCCAAGCCCATGGCAAAGCTAAAGCCCTATGCCCTATGTTTG